AACACCTACCAGCTCATTTTCAGGACTTGTCTGACCGGCTAGATTACAACACCTACCAGCTCATCTTCTGGACTTATCAGACCGGCTGGATTACAACATCTATCAGATCACTTCTCAGGACTTCTCAGACCCAATTTTTAGTTGAAACACTATTTATATCTGTGATATATGAGTCGATATTTTTTCTGCGGATCTTCAAGTGTGTAGACAAGTGATGTCTTTGTTTTAACAACCTTATGGTAATACCTCTTCATAGAACAATTCTAGAAGATAAAATCATCGCACTATGGTCAATTCTCGTATCTCTTGGGGTATTTTACACAAACGTGTGTGTGTGTGTTTGTCGGAAACTCTCCCATTTCGACGTACAGAGAAAAACTTCATTAAAGCTTAGGCCTAACCCATACTTCAACAATTGAGTTGGACACGCCCTAGTGATTAGCTTGCCGAGTTGCGGATTTTTGAAAGTCTTACGTTCGAACCCTGCAGTACGATCTGCAGTTTCTAAATTAAGATAACCGAACTTTGGGCCCTCTGACCCGACATGGGCCTGACGGGTTAGGGGGCGCTGGAGTCGCAATCTGAGAGTCGCAGGGTTCGAATCCCCCGTCACCAAAAATACTTGCTCTTTCAGCCGTGTGGGCGTTATAATGTGACGGTCAATCCCACTGTTCGTTTGGTAAAAGTATAGCCCAAGAGTTGGCGGTGGGTGGTGTCTACTAGCCACTTTCTCTAGTCTGTCACTGCAAAATTAGGTAGCCCTTGTGTAGCTTTGCGCGAAATTCAAAACAAACTGACCTTGTCGTTTAACAGTAAGGTGACATCGTTTACATTATCCCAAATAGGAATTAAGTCGGATCAGTTCTCTCTCTCTCTCTCTTTACGAAAATAGGTAGAACAGTTAATTCATACATTATTGAATTATTCAGGTCAGCCGTTTTGTATATATATATTCATAACGTAAACAATCATTATGCATGAAAAGTGCAGTAAGTATGTAGGAGGCCTAAAAACAAATGACCTCATTTTGTAGTAATGTTTTACTCATGTTATTCTCTTTTAAACGAGATAATTTTCTTAAGTTATCGCACCATCAAGATTTGCCAGAAAGCTTTCAGTTTCATAATTTTAATAATCACAAAATATTGTTTCTTTCGAAAACTAAAACTTGAAAATTACAATCCTCACAAAATAATTCGTAAAATAGGACATAGAAACTACATAACTTGAACTTAAAAAGACCCCTCGCCATTTTTTAAGACTTCACTTTTTCGACCCCTTTCAGTAAATTTCTGGTGTGTGTGTGTGTGTGTGTGTGTGCAAGGAAGATGGCGCCCATTTTCAACTTTGTTTCATATACTATTTACCTTTTCATATTGCACGTGGAGGCTACAAGAATATTAGTTTAACAATATTGTAAAGTAGGAATAATTGTTAAAGAATACTAGTTTAACAATATTGTAAAGTAGGAACAATTGTTAAAGAATACTAGTTTAACAATATTGTAAAGTAGGAACAATTGTTAAAGAATACTAGTTTAACAATATTGTAAAGTAGGAACAAATGTTAAAGAATACTAGTTTAACAATATTGTAAAGTAGGAACAATTGTTAAAGAATACTAGTTTAACAATATTGTAAAGTAGGAATAATTGTTAAAGAATACTAGTTTAACAATATTGTAAATTAGGAATACTTGTTTAACAATATTGTAAAGTAGGAATAATTGTTAAAGAATACTAGTTTAACAGTATTGTAAAGTAGGAACAATTGTTAAAGAATATTAATTTAACAATATTGTAAAGTAGGAATAATTGTTAAAGAATACTAGTTTAACAATATTGTAAAGTAGGAATAATTGTTAAAGAATACT